GGAAAAGGGTATTCATTCTGGTCTTATAACAAGATAAATGATTTAATCTTCTAAAGAACAAAATGGAAATATCAATATAATTAGATCACTTGCTTTTCTTTTCCTTCCATTTTCTTTCCTGTGAGATACAAATGCATTACCGGATTAAATTTATACATTTAATTAAGCTACATTTAATTATAATTGAGCATATTTTAACCTCATCAATAAGTATATTGTTCATACTATACAGTGTATTAATATTTAAATGTATTTTTAATAGTAGCATAAACATAGTTATATATTTTAATTGAAAATGTGTTAATATGAAGAAAATATTTTAAAAATACTCTTAGTCTAGCTTATAAAGAAACAATAGACTGCTAATCTAGATGAAGTAATTTGGGAAAATATTTCAGCAAATCTTTTTACATTTATTCTCTAATTTCCATCTGTTTTTTCCATCCGCTTCTTAACATCTTCAATACTGAGAGTTTAATAAATTTGGTCTAGTCATCACTTTTACTCATACTATGGCTCATACTATGCAGGAGAGTGGGCAAGAAGCAGTACCTAAATTTCCAGAACTTCTTCCTCTTGGAATTCATACTACTTCCCTACTTTTCAACATGGTTGACGGCATCACCACTCAGAATCATATTTAACTCATCCCTTCTATACTAGTTTGCTAGAGCTGACATAACAAAGTAACACAAACTGGATGGCTTAAAACAACAGAAATACATTGTCTTACAGTTCTGGAAACTAGAAGTCTAAAATCAATGTGTTAGCAGAGCTCCTCTCCCTCTGAAATCTGCAGAGAAATCCTTCATTTTTTTTTTTTTCTATCTTCTGGTAGTTTTCCAAGAATCATCGCCTTTCCTTAGCTTATAGGTATATAGTCCAGTCTTCACAAAGCTATCTTTTTATAAGGACACCAGTCATATTGGATTAGGGGCCCACCTGACTAGTATGACCTCATCTTAACTAATTACATTTGAAATGATCCTATTTCCAAATAAGGTCACATTCTGAGGTGCAAGGGGTTAGGGCTTTAGGTATATTTTTTTGGAGGGGGGGTAACAATTCAACCCTTAACATCTTCCCTTCAGTAAAAAATTGGATGTCAATAATCTGTTTAATCAGTCACTACATTTCTTTAATATGTTGCAAATCAGTATCTCCTCTCTCCCACCAGCTACTCTATCCTCTCTATTCTCCTTCTCTCATTCCTCCATCTCCCCACATCTGTTCTATTCTCACTGCTCCTACTTTCAATCATCAACTCTCTACTGGACTGCTGAAACAGTCTCAAACAATCTGATCTCATTTACTATGGTTTCAAACACCCTTCCCCAAACCATTTATGCTATCAACTAGATGATCTTTCTAGAATGGAAATCTAGTCATGTTATCCCTCCATTACTATCACCATCACCCTTTCCTACTCTCTAAGAACAGACCTTAAAACTCTACAGTGGTCTCACAGGAGAAATTGATATAAAGCACCTAGATCCATCTTTTTGTCACTACTTCATATACAGTCTATAACCCAGCCAAACCAAACTGCTTACTGTTTCTTATCTCTTTGCTTTGACATATTCTGATCCTTCTATCTAAAATGCTCTTCCCGGGGCATCTCACTTTCTGGTACGCCCTCTCGCAAGAGAGCTACAACTATGTGCTTCAATAAATCCTATCACTTTACCTTAAATAAAGAAATAAATAAATAAAATGCTCTTCCCTTCCAGAATACTCGATATATTTTACTATTCTTTAAACTCCCTTTACCCACAAATAATTGTACACTTTTTTTGTGCCACTACTCTTCTTAGTATGTTCCTCTATTGTTGTACTTATCACATGGTATTCCAACTCCAATATATGTTTTTCTGTTTACTACACCTGAAAAGTCTTCCTCAAGATATCTTCTGTGCTCCTAAGCACCTAGTATGTGACCTGTCCCACAGTAAATATTATGAATTTTTTTTTTTTGCAGTTTTTAAGAGTTAGATCTATTCTAAAACTTTTGCTAGAAGGGAAGGTTTAAAAATTTGCTACTGGAAGGTTTAAGCCAAGAAATAACTAAAAATAATTTAAGAAAGAGAAAAAAATCACTGCATACTAAAGAATGATCAGAATAGCTTCAAATTTTTTTTTAATGCATTACTCACTACATACCTATTAGAATGGTTAAAATTTAAAAAGAAAATCTGACAATATCAAGTACAAGAGAACATCTGGGACAACTGTAACGCTCATACATGGCTGATGGTAATAGAAAATGATGTAGCCACTCTGGAAAACAGTTTAGCAGCTTCTTATGAAGTTAAACATAACACTTATAATATGATGGAGCTAACCCACTTCTATTTAACCAAGATAAATTAAAATTTAACACTCACACAAAAAACCTGTACATGAATGTTTATAACAGCTTTATTCATAATCACCAAAAACTGGAAACCCAAATGTCCTTCAATGAATGAATGGTTAAACATGGTACATACAAACAGTGGAATACTAGTCAGCAATAAAAAAGCATAACGATATGGATGAACTCTAAAATGCATTATGCTGAGTAAAAGAAGCCAGTCTCCAAAGGTTACATGCTATATCATTCCATTTGTTGGACATTCTGGAAAAAAAAAATAATACAGGAATGCTTAACCATTCTCAGTGATTGTTGGATTAAAGTTAGGAGTCACAGAAAGATTTGATTACAAAAGGACAATACTAAAGGAATCATTTGGGGGTGATGGAACAGTTCTATATCCTGATTGTGGTAGTGGTTCCATGAATCCATAAATGGGTACATTTAACCAAAACTGTATGCCAAAAAAATTAATTTCACTATATGTAAATTTTAAAATAAACAAATGCATTTCTTTCTAAGCATGAGGATAAACTGCCCTTTTCTTCTACTCCCAAATACCTTTCCCCTAGACTTGAAAAAAGACCACTATGAGGAGATAAATAGACCAGACTGAAATAATGGCTTTAAGTTGGAAATTAAAGGAATTTGCTACAACATTATGGACGGTTATCTTAAAAGGCTAGATTATGAGATAATGATCTATAATTTTAGAGAAAGGCAAAGAGGTACTAAAGAATAGAGCAAATAGACCTTAAAATTAAAAAATGGACTGTCCTCCTAGTATTCACCTCTTTCTATAGTACTATGACATAATAATTATATCTTCATTTGCTTTGCTTTTTCATGTTTCTGCTACACAAAAACGACTGAAGTAATTTAATTTTAAGATATATACCTATTTTTATTTCAGTATTCCAAGTCTAAAATAAAAGAAACTAATCAGTTGGCTGCAGTTTTTGCATCAAAAGCTCTAAATGATGAAAAATTTCTTAAAAGTCTGGTGGAATCTAATAGTGGGGTTAAATCTAAAAGGAAGTTAATGCAACTTTAAAATAAAATAAAATAAATAAAATAAAATAAAAATAAATAAAAGTTAATGCAATTGAGGAAATGATATTCAGCATATTTAATACTTTGCACCTGTCTCTGCTTGCCTGCTTTTCTTCCACTGCCTGCTCGCCTTCTGCCTTTTACTGCTTTCTCCCTTTTCTTCCCTGCCCTCCCAAGCAATCCTGCCATGCACTCTTCCCCTCTTAGTGCCACAAGCTTAAATTATCTAACTGCTTTCAGGAATAATCACGTAAAATATAATTCATTTCAAATGCTTGAATTAAAATGTGGCTAATGGTCAAATTCAAATATGGTGGTACTCTCTTCCTAAAGCAGAACACTGGGGAACATAGTCTAATAGGAAGGACATTTAATATATATCGAATGTAAATACTAAATTAAATATAATTTTCTAAAAGAGTATGACATTCAAATTATAGTTTTTAAAAAATATTTAGCTACTAATATATACTTAGGAAGCTTAGAGTTTAATAGTCAAATATATTAATAAATGTGTATGATAAAATATATTAAGAAAAATAGGGCCCTAACCAGTCTATGAATAATATTTTTTTGGGCTAAATTTCTAAGAATTCTGAAGATTACTGAATGTATACCCAGAGTTCCAGATATTTAGTTGTCCAAGAAAAGAAAAACTTCTCTATCTTAGGTCTTGGGCTGAGATTATATAAATGTTACCTACTATAATGGAATTATAGCAATAAGATGTTTGAGAAGACAACGGCTCTTTACAGTTACTGAAGAACTGATGGTCTTCCATTTTCTTTTGTCCATTTATGAAACAAGAATGACCTTTGGGTAAAATGTGAAATGGTGATGTGAGCCACATGCCTATGGCAAAAAGTTCTATAAAATGTTCCCTGTGAACCAAGAACTGAAATAAATAAATATTACCTTTCTGCTACCTTGGTTACTCATCTAAAAAAAGATGACCAAAAATGAAGACTTGGAAAAGAGAAGAGGTTGGTGAGTAGAAAATGGAACATCTGGCTATTTGGAAAACTGATGGTGACTCTCATTACAAAATATCTATTTTGTTTATTTTCACCCTTTAGAACTATACAAAATGTCAAAAAGAATACTTTAAAATTCCCAATACCATTCTAACTAACTTTGGAAGCATCCAGTGTTAGAATCTGGGGATATTAAATTAAAAATTATTAAGTCGTAGAATATTATTGCTTCAGAATAAAGTGTAAAAAACTCACGTTAAGTTTCCAGACTTAAAAAGAAAGTTGTTTTTTTCTTAACGAAGGGATTTATAATAACATTTTAAACTATAACTTAAAAGTATAAACTTAAGACTTAATAACATAAATTTTCATAAATGAAGTGTCACATTATATCAACTTATTTCTAAAATTCAGTCCTTTAAATAGTTCTCATTGTTAAGTTCTATTACAAATATTTTCTTATATAGAATACATAGATCCTAATTCTGAGGTTACTATAATGTAATTGTCAACTAAAATATAAATTTTAGCAAATATTTTCTTCTGCTCTTGGAAAAAATGAATTCTAGGTTCCTCATATTAAGATATGTTATTTCATTAGTACAAGATATAAATTGTTATTATTCTTCAGTCTTTCCTGAAACTTGTTCAGCCCTGGAAAAATCTGCTTCGTATTTCTTTTTGAGATTACTTAAATATGTTCGTAAAGTATCTGGATCCAATTGAGAGTTTCGAGCAGTTTGAACAAGCCTCGTAGCTAGATGGTACACAGCTCTCTGTCTTTCCATCTCAGGGGTACTCCTTTGGTTTTGCTGTTATTAAAAAATATATAGATAAAAGTTAAAATATGTTTGCTATAATTTTTATACAAATTTTGGTAATTTTCTATCTCTTTTAATAGAAATATAGAACTCAAGGGTTAACTAATCCCTTTGGATAAGTCAGTTCCATCCAACTAGCAAAGAATATATCAGAAAAAATAAAGGAAATATTATTTTGGAAAATAAAAGTTCTTATGAGTATTTATGACAGATCCTTATATCTTTGAAATATACCTTTCACTGAAAAAAATCTGCTAAATGGGTCAGATATCTCCATACAATATCAAAAAGTAATAGAAAATCCACTAGTTATGTCATACAAATACTTTATCATTAAAAAGGTACGGGAAAACAGCAGTGCTCATTGCTATGAGGTATTCATAATTTTAAATGTCACCCAAGAGTACCACTTTATTATCTCCTGTTTTAATTCCCCAACAGATAAACTGGTGGAAAGAATGGGTCATCGATAAACTGCTTTTCCCTTAAGAGAGTTTCTTATATAGGAACTGCTGGAAACTAAGTGAAAGTACTGCTTGAGGAGTAAATTGCTATTTAAAAATAAGCAATGTAAGTCTACAACCATGCTACCCTGAACGAGCTTGATCCCATCTGATCTCGGAAGCTAAGCAGGGTTGGGCCTGGTTAGTACTTGGACGGGAGACCACTTAGGAAGACCAGGTGCTGTAGGCGTAAAAAATAAATAAATAAAAATAATAAGGGATTGTAAAATGACAAGGTCCTTGCAATCTGTGAGGTCAACCAAGGGTTGCCTCGCCTAAAAAAAAATTTTAAAAATAAAAATAAAAATAAACAACATAAATAGCTACTTGAAATTATGCCTAGATTCTTAAACTATACTCTTAAGGATATCCAAGACATAATGTTTAAAACAGAAATCTTCTAATACTTTTGAAGGCCTCTAGATATTCAGTCCTTGAATAGTAATTTGGGGTTGGGAGTACAGCTGGAAAATTCTTCATTTACTTCTTTGCCTGAGCTAGATAGGGGAATCAGCATTTTCAATGTTAACTGTTTATGGAAATTCTTAGTTTCCCTTCACTAACAGAAATACAACCTCTTCAACTCTTCCTCAGTAACAAGCAATTCCAGATATTTTTCTACTTTCCCTATAGAAAAAATGAATACAATTCCATGAGGTAGAATAAGATTATCATATATTCACTCATCTATCTAATACATTAATCAACTATCAGTTTATTATTTAACTAACAGTTACTGAATATCTACTAACATCTATATTCTGGGCTCCATACCTTCTGTTTAGACATAGGGGAGATACAAAACTGTCTACTTGACTTGATAATGGAACTCAAGATCAGTCTTACAATTAAACAAACATGTTTATAAGCTACAGATTAAGGTAATAATGATAAGTCCCATAAGAGAGATACAAAATGCTCAAAAAAAGAAGTCAATTCCAGCTCGAGTCAAGAAAAGCCTAAATAGAATGGAGTATTTGGAATGCATCTTGATAGAAGAGCCAAGAAGGGAGGGCATTTTGGACGAAGGAATTGGCTAGAGCAGACACATTAAAAGCTTGGTACACTTATGTAATCTTATTAACCAATGTCACCCCAATAAATTTAACTTAAGAAAATACAAATAAATAAGAAATATAAATAAATTTTAAAAAGCATGGTACATAATGGGGTCAAAATGATGAAATGACACGTAATTCAATGTGGCAGGAATGTGGGTTACATAGTTAAAAATTAGTAATATTTTGTAAGGTTGGGGTAGTAAACAGGGAGATTATAAAGCAAACTTTAGTGTGTAAGAATCATCTGAAAGCAACAAATGAGCAAATAAAATGAACAAACTCACAGACACAGACAATAGAATGGTGGTTATCAGAGAGGAAGGGAGAGGGGGGAGGTAGGTAAGGGTAAAGGGGGTCAAATATACAGGGAGGGAGACTAGACTTTTTGTGGTGAGCACACAATGCAATGTACAGATGATATACTAGTGAATTATACACTTGAAACATACAATGTCATTAACCAATACATACAATGTCACCCAATAAATTTAACTTAAAAAAAATCATCTGAAGACTGGTTAAAAATGTAAATTCCTGAAAACCCTGATTTTCAAGGAGAACCTCGAAAATCTAAGATGGTACCCAGAATTCTAGGTGATTCTAATGCAAGTGATCTTAAAACAGTACTCTGAGAAATTATCATAGGAGACTTTTAACACTAGGTTAAGGAGTTTGACTTTTATTTGGTAAGAAACAACTAAAAGTTTCTGAGCAGGGAAATGACATAGAGCTTTACATTAGGAGACAATCTGGTAGAAGTAGCTGGATGGATTAGAAAAGAGAGAACTCACTGCACGGTCTTAATGAGAGGTGATTAATAAGAAGAATTCATAGATGACTCAGATGGATCACTGGGAGATTTGAAATGAAAAGGTGAGAAGATTTTTTGGAAGATGATAAATTTAATTTTGGAGCTATTAATGAGTAAAAACATTAAGGTTTCAAGAAATATGGAGAGAACATATAGATTCAGAGTCTAAAAGAAGTATTGTAGGAACTGAATTGTTCAACTTTTCAAAAAAAAAAAAAAACTGGAAGCTAAGGAAAGGATGAGATCACCAAGAATATAGTTTTAAACAAGGGCAAAACTTAGGAACAGTGCTATTTAATAAGTAGAATGATAAAAACAAAACAAAACAAACAAACAAAAAAACCACTGGTGAAGAAAGGAAAGGAGTAATCAAAGAGGTAGAAGAATGAAATATCCAGGAGAGGACAATTCCACAGAAGTCAAGACAGGGAAGAATTTTGAAAAGGGAAAAAATGTAGTGTCAAATGCCACAGAGAGAACAGGGAAGAAGTAAAAAAGGCTATACAAATTTATGATTACTTGGTATTTAAGAGGAAACTTTCAGTTGAGTAATGACAATAAGATCCAGTTTGCAAGTGGGAAACGGAAGAACAAGTATAGACTACTCTTGAGAAGTTAGTAGTAATGAGAAATATAGTTTGAGAAGTAAAGTTAAAAATCTAAGCATATTAATAGAAAAAGAAAAGGCAGTGGGGTGTGTATGTGTGTGTGTGGGGGGGAGGGGCGGAGTTCCACTAAGGATCCAAAGAGAAGAAAACTGATGTAGTAATACCTTAATGGTGTTGGAAAGAAGGTAAAAAAGTTAACTTCAAATAGGTTGAAATGTACTCTCTTCTTCTGAGATAGGGGAGAAGAGATATGGGTGAAAAGTAGAAATTCCAAAACAGAGTTTTGAAGGGGGAAAGGTTCAAGAACTCATCAAGATGACCTCAAGTCTCTCAAAAAGTACAGGTGAATTCTCTGTAGAGAGTGAGACTGAAGGGCTTAGGAAGAGTAGAAATGTTTTGAAAGAGTTACTATAAAGAAACCATACAGATCAATAAAAAGGGAAGGAAAAAAACTATCCAGTAAAATATTCCACTGAAGTTAGAATATATGAATTTGCAGTGGATGAAATTAGCCTGTCATGAGTATATTTTGAGCATCACTGGGAAAGCCAAAGCTTAGAAGGCTACCGAAGAGGTTGCCCATGACTGAGAACATGAAGTCTAAAGAATGAGGCAACAAGAGGTTCTTCAGAAGCAGAGAACTGGAACATTACTGATGAAGGGATTCACATTAGGTAATTAGGCAAGTAAAGTCATAAAGACAGTCTAGAGCTCAAAAGGCTGAAGGAATGCAATAAAAATTGAAGAAAGGTTAAGAAAAGGTGCAAGACAAAGGAAACCGTTACTACTGAAGAAAATTTCATACTGCTCCTAGCTTAGTTTACTGAACACACTGGATTCTTAAAACAATATAAAGTAATCTGATGTAAAAAAAAATTCTAAATTTTGAGTCAACAGATGTGAATTTATTATTGGAGCTACTGCTATCTGGCAAACTGCTTAACCTCGGTGAACCTCAGCTGTAAAATTGTGAGTAAAAATACCTTTATTTTTTATCTTTTATAAGACAGACTAACTGCTTCGTGAAGAGTTATGAGGCTTGTATATGATAATAGATAGAAGAGCTTTGAAAACTATAAAAAAGATATGAAAATGTTGGCATAGTGATTTTTATTTTTAATGGTTGTATAGATTTATTTTCTCATCATAAAGTCAGTGTAGCAACAAGTACTGTAGGAACTGAATTGTTCAACTTTTGTCTCCTATCTTATTAGTTGACTTACTGGGAAAGGTTATAATAGACCAAACCAAAAAAGTTTTGAGAAGAGGAATTTTTTAATTTAGGAATTGGGTTGTTTAATTTTAATTATTTTATATTTAAATTCAAGGCCATATAATAAATATGTGTACTAAAAGTATTTTCTTGAATTTAAAAAATAGTTCTTCTTATTAGAAAGTTTCTTACCAAAATTTGTCTGGTAATTTGAGTTGTAATTTCTTTGGCATCCAAGACAATTGATGGCGGAAGTGATGAGACCTCTGCAGCTTTTAATCCTGAAATTATAAACAATGGGCTTCAATATTGTTATTGCTGGTATTGTTATGTTTCTTTTAACCAGTATTAATCTTTTCTTCGCAGATTTAAAGTTTCCTTAGGAATTCCTAAACTACTTATAAGAATAATTCTCAAAATTAAGTTTTCCAAAGTTCAACTTACCAATTATTAGATTTAATTACCTGTTAGATAAATTAGATCAATTACCTTTCAAGATACCACTGAGATAAAAGGACAACAGGTTAGCAAAAGGAAAAGAGGTAATTAGAAAACTGAATAATAGTAGTTAACATTGAAATTCCAACTACAAATGCAGTTAGTTAATAGAAAAATATATGGGTTTTGCTGGGGAGGAAAATATTTAGTCACTGAGATAATCCTACAACTGAATGTTCCTCTATCCAGCAGGTCAATGAGGGAGGAATTTCTCAGAAGATATGATGGTATATCTTCTGAGATATACATGCAGAAGATATGCAGAAGATATGATGGTATATCTTCTGAGATATACATGCAAATTCAAGTACCAACTAGTATTCTTATTTTCTCAGAGCTTAATTTTATTGTATAAATGCCATACAGGCTTCCTACTGTGTAATAGTTTATTGTATTTATTGCTTTAGAGGCAACAGAAGCCCACTAACTGCTTAGTAATTGCTAGGCACTACACTAGGCAGTTCGTATTTGATGATTCATTTAATGTTCACGAGCCCACATATTTGGAAAATTATTTAACAGATGAAATTGAGGTAAATAAAGACTAAACATCTGATACAAATTAAGCTATTCATTTGATTTCCTATTTCAAATAGCAAAAAAAAAAAGCACATCTCACAAGGGTCACATTCATTGCTAAAAATTGAAAGTTCTCTGAAACCATGAGATTTCACATGTCACATAATGATTTAGATAGAAAATACCTAATCAAGTTTATGAATATCATATGGTGTAATACACTCCATTTTAAGACTTTATATTTAATTATTAAGTTCCCAGACTCTGAAGAACACAGAGAAAGAACCCTGTTAATGAAAGTGTATCAGAATTAGTTTTTAATTTTAAATAACTTACAAATATAAACTAAATTACATTTTTCTAATACTTCTAGGGCCTTAATGTATTTTAATTCTACATAGTTATTGGCTAATATAAGTTTAAAAATAGGCTTACTACATATAAAATAAAAGTTTGACATAGAAAATAAGGTCTTAGAGCATATAAGCACTCAAAAGAATGAAGAAAAGTAACAGGTTGACAATCAAGTAAAGGGGAGAAGACAATTTCTCTTATGAGAATATGTAGTGTTTCAGTATATACTTTCTTTACATAATACCGTAATTTTTTTCTTCTGTGAGTCCCTTAGAAAGTTTGTAGGTGTACAAGATTGCTTCTTTATTTCTTGAGGTGTTCTTTACATGCTGAACTTCAAAATGCATGTTTTCTACATTAGGATACAGGACATCTATATTGCATAGTTCCAGAAAATGTGTAGCAAACAGTGTAAATGCCTGAAATAAATAATAATAAATTTCAATACTTTTTAAATGAACTAAAATTTTCTATTTTAACTATTTAAACAAAATTTAGTTTAGTTTTCCAAGTAGCTTGGCAGAAATGTAGAAACGAAACTAGTAACTTTGAAGTTAACATGGTTGATTCATTTTAAAATGTTTAAAAAATTTATATTCAATGAAGGACATGTTTATTATGTTTATACATACACATTTATGAAATATTGTAAGAAAGTAAATAAATCCAAAAATGAACTTCTATAAAAAGTATGAAGACATTGAAAAAAGTGAAGTTTATCAGAAATAAATCTATTAACTGAGGTAATCTTTTCTTCACAGATTTAAAGTGAAGAAAACGGTTTCTCTTAGGAAAATATGTAGTGTTTCAGTATATAATTTCTTAGAGAAGTAATCCACAAACAAAATCACATTTCTATCAACTTTTAAAAATGATTTTAAAAGTAACTTCCCTCCATATAAGTGGTTTTTGAAAAACAGAATCAATGGATTGTCTTAGATATGTGAAACTGCAAAGATTTTAAGTTTGTATATTTACATTGTATTTGGGTTAGATATTTACATGGAAAAAAAGACTGAAAATTGCTTAGGACAATGATTCTCAAACTTTAGTCATCTGCTGGGGAACTTCTTAAAGGTGCAAATTCTTGGCGCTTATCCCCCTGCTCCAAATTCTGTCAGTAGCTGTAACGTGGGCCCCAGGAAACTGTATTTCCCTAAGTACTTTAGGTAATTTTAATGAAGGTAGTTCAAGTGACTTATGACCAGCACACGGTTTCCAGCCCAGAGTTACCAGAGCAGATAGAAATTTGAATAATTGATCATGTTTTAAGATATTACCAGTAAGAAACTAAATAGATAATTAGTGGAAAATTAAAGTATTAAGACATTAAAAAGAAAATATTTGACTGGCAAACTGTGGAAGGGGGTGGCAAGGGAAGGAATAGTTTTGTATATGACAGAAAAATGAAAAATCTCAACTATTTACTCAACAAATTAAAAGAGTATAAAACAAACCAAATTTATAAAGCAACAGAAAATATTTAGAAACCCAATAAACTATTTAGAAGTTAGGGACCATGTTCATAATAAAAGCATGTCCTCAAAATTTATATATTAAACTAACCTATTATGGTATTTTGTAAACTCTATTTTTTTCTCTTTAAAAAAAATTATTATTAGTTTCAAGTATACAGTACATTGGTTAGACATTTATATAGTTTACAAAACGATCCCCCTGATTGTTCTTTCTCTGCTCTGGTTCTATACCTCGCCATCACATTAATGCTGACTACATTCCCTATGCCATGCTTCCCATCCCTATGACCATCTATCAACTACTAATTTGTACTTCTTTAACCTTTCACCCCTTTCTCCCAGCCCGCCAATCCATCCCTTCCCTCTAACCATCACTGGATTGTTCTCTATATTTAATTCAATATAACAAATAATTATTCAAGAGCTTATATATTGCAAGGATTGTGCTAGGCACTAAAGATACTAGCTTAGAAAAATAGTAGTTAACTTTAAGGTCTTTAAAAGTAAGTAGCAATAATTATATTTTAACTAAATTATTTATAGTAGAAAAGGATAATATTATGGTTTGAATGTTTGTGTCCCTACCCCAAATTCAAATGTTGAAATTATAACGCCCAGTGATGGTTTTAGGAGGTAAAGCCACTGGGAGGTGATTAGGTCATGAGGATGGAGCCCCGTCATGAATGGGATTAGTGCTCTTATAAAAAAGACCCCAGAGAGCTCTCTTACCCTCTCTGCTGTGTGAGGATACAATGAGAAATTTGCAGACTGCAATATGGAGGAGTGTCCTCACCAGAACTCAACCACACTGAAAACCTCATCTCGGACTTCCAGCTTCCAGAATTGTAAGAAATAAATTTCTGTTGTTTATAAGCCACCCAGTCTATGATATTATGTTGTGGCAACCCGAATTAAGACAGCTATTCAAAAGTACTAATAAAAGCATTATTCTCAGCTGTTACAGAATACCTCACATAGGATTCTCCCAAGAAACAGAAGATATATAGATATATAGATATATAGATATCTTATATGTGTGTATATGTAAAGATAGATAGATAGATAGATAGATAGATAGATAGATAGATAGATAGATAGATTTCAAGGACTTGGCTCATGTAGTTATGTAGGCTCACAAATTCCAGTCAGCAAGCTAGAGACTCAGGAGAGCTAATGAGGCAGTCCCTGTCTAAAGGCTCAAGACCCAGAAAGAGCAGATGTTTTAGTTCAAGTCTGAAGACCAGAAAGACACCCAGTTCAAAGGAAGACAGGCAGGAGTAATTTCTTCTTATTCCCAGGAAGGTCAGTCAGCCTTGTCCTATTCAGGCCTTCAACTGGGCCCCATTCAAAATTGATTGAATGGAGCCCATCCACATTAGGACAATCTGCTTTACTCTTTCTACCAATTCAAATATTAATCTCATCCAGAAACACCCTCACAGATAGACCCAGAATATTGTTTGACCAAACGTCTGGATACTCTGTAACCCAGTCAAGTTGACATAAAATTAACCGTCACAGACACCAATTAGCTTTTAATCCTAACAAGTAATACATGCATCTTATTTATATGAGAAATTGTGATCAACTGACAAAGACTCAGAATTACAAAGACTAATGCTATCCATTAATGTTACTTTTTATTCATCATATACTTTAAATATAAAATAAGATTGTTCTCAGTCTACAAAAGGAATCATTATGGACTTTCATTTAAGGTATATAACCTCATCTTAGGGATATTTTAAGGTACTTTAAATATGGAAAAATATTTTTAAGTTTTTTCATATCATATACATTTTGAGTGATGATCTAAAATATATTTTACAAATTAGTTAATAATAGAGCAAAAATCATTGTTTTACATATTTGATTTGTGAACAAACATTTTCTTTAAAGGAATGAAATCTTAGGTAAATTAAATAGATTTCCAATAAAGTGACCTCAGATGCCTAGTTTTACTTCATGTTGTGACATCATAGTGACTGTTATTACACATGGAGACAATTATTAAAATGATTTCATGTTTCGCTCCTTGATTTGATTAAATTAAAGCCAAGTGACTAGTTTTAACATTATCTGTATTTCTTGATTTCCTCTTTTCCTTATCTACGTCATGACTACCATAACTAACCATTCCTACTTCCATCAAAAATGAAGTAAATATTAATGCACAGTATGTCTTCATTACTTAAATTTGTTTAAAGAGCTACTTGTAAGTGTCTGTAAAATCTAATCATGATAAATATATAAAGGATACATAAAAAAAGACTCAAAATCAATATACTTTAAATATAGAATACCTTTAAGCTCAGTAGATATTCACAAACAGCATAACAAATGCCAATACCTTCTTCTGTATTAGTACCTCTGCCAAGTTCATCAATTAATATGAGTGATTTGTCATTAGCATTATGCAGAATATATGCTATCTGAAAAACATTATTTTAATATTCATTATAATCAAGTAGCTGTCACTATCATAGAAAAAAATGAGGAAAAATCCAGTCTATTGGTTCATCTGAAATATATTTTATAGAGAAATCCAACTGAGCAGAAACTAACACATTTCTAAAGACTTCATGACTAATAATTTCAACAGAATAGTCGTCGTGTACATAAAATGACATAAGCATACGTGTATGTGACAAAAGAGTAAATAACCATTACTTAAAATACTGAAATTTTAGATACAGTGAAATAAAGCAATGAATTAAATGTTTAAATAAAGCATAAACATGTTCATTTTCTTCTCCAAAAATGACTAATCAATTGTTGTCATAAAATATTCAAATCTATTCCTCAAATTTATTTTAATTTCTCTATATCCAGTAAAGATAGAAAGAAAAATTTTGGAAATAGCATACAAGTCCATTGATTCCCGGTGAAACAAATTTAAATCCATGCCCCCAAAGACCAAGACTTTAATTAACAAATATGCTCCTCTTCCGCTGAAGATTATTAACCTCTTTCTCAAAAAATGGAATTCTACCTTTATTATGTCATGACACAATAATAACTTTCATGGCCATTTTACCTTCCTATGGGACTAAGCTTTTTGAGAGCTAGGTCTATTTAAAAATATAACTCAAACATCTAGTATAGTGCTATATTCTCCCATAGATATTCAATACATACTAAATAATATATATATATTTGTCATATACTATGGGCAAATAAGCTTATTCTCCCTCTATCTACAGAAAATTAGCCAACTGTACAGTGCTCTAATAATTCCTACCTACTAAAGATAGGCCAAGAGCTACACTGAATTCCTTCAAGCCTACTTGACATTTGCTCAGATTAGAAATAGGTGATGATACACACTTTGTTACAGTAAGTGAGAATTCTATAAGAGCACAGAACAGAAGGCTTTAAAAAAGCCTTCTAACAGTGATCTTTTATTTTAGAAACATACAGGAATAATAAATACTATGCAAAATGGTCCTGAACAGGTCATTTTCTGAGAAGTCTTTCATATACCCCATACAAAATAATGAAAGCATGTTTTTATCATTCGATAACACTAACTTTTTCTTTAAAACTGTAGTTTTCAATAAAACAGTCACTCCTATTTCCACATAAGACAGAAATTAGGAAGCTGTCTTTGACTGCCCTCTGGCTCTGTAGAGTAGTATAAGCACATATGCATGATTTAGTTTAAAAATACTTTCTTACGATGATTAACAAATAGTGGGGAAAGTAATATGTTTTTTTTTAAAGTTTATTGGGGTAACATTGGTTAATACAATTATATAATTTTCAGGTATACATTATAATTTGAAATCTATATATTCTATTGTGTGATTACCACCCAGAGTCCAGTTTCCTTCAGCTACCATATATTTGACCCCCTTTAACCACTTGTAATATGTTTTTAACATAAGAAAAGTTTAGTTTGGGTACCTCTTTCATTTCCTTCATAAATGTTGATGAATTTGTTTCGATATCATCATCAGTACTGATTCTTGTAAAAATCTGTTCAGCAATTCTAAAGGAAGAATATTCTGCTGGAATATATGATCCTATAAATTATAAGACAGAAGTAAACTGAAATGCTTTTATAAAATATAGGTACTAATATTTTGCACTTTCAATCAACTCGGATTATTTACTAGCCTATCCAGGGACTATGTGGTGGAAAGATCAATGGATATGGAGTTAGAAGACATGGGCTCAGTTATGTTATTTATTGAATAACCTTGGACCACACTTAAATTCTGTCATATCCTTCATATATGAAATGGAATACTTGCCCTATTTATTATACAAAGTTATTTGGAATTTCAAATAAGATAGTATATACTCAAGTTCATTGGAAAGATTTGTCATAAACTTGATAAAAATTTTAAATAATATAGTTAGATAATAAAGAATATTCAAAGTATGAAAATTTGAGGGAAATGCTTATGAAGTTAAAGTTGATAAAATCGTTATAGAAAAATATATTAGGAAATATCTGTTAATAGCAATTTATAGAAATAACATACAATCAGAATGAAAGCAAAACATTTAAATTTTTTTAAAAGGTGAATTTTCATCCACAAGACTGTTTCTGCCTGAGAAGTAAGTTATCAAGCTAACTAATCTAAAACAGCCATCTTTTGAAAACAAATCTATCTGATTAATATAACTACCTCTAAATGGAATAGCATATAAAAGGCACTCTGAAATCAAAACAAGATAAAAATAAATAGTTGAATGGGAAAAATATCAAGTATACAGAACTCTACACAGACAAAATGGTGAAATCATGGGAATAAAAAAACAAAGCCAGATTATTCCAGGATTTAAAACAAAAGAAAGGATGAAAAATAGGATCGACCTTCAAGGAATAAGAACTAGCAGGAAAAGAATACAAAATTCAGGATAATACTAATAAAAAATAATAATGATAATAATAACAATAGTAATTATAATGATTGCACTTCAGAGAAATTTCTTAAATATAATTTATACTCCAGAAATATTAAATGGGAAAATAAATGTGAAAGAACCAAGAATAGAATATAGCATATATGATGTATGTTTATATTTTCTCCTTTCTTTTACCCCCACCAAAAAGGCTCTCAACATTTTTTTTCTAGATTATTACAAAAGCCTCCTGGCTGGTATTTTGCTTCTAGTCTGGCTCTCATTTAAACATACATCAACCAAAGTGATCTATCTAAAAGTCAAATCCAATTGTGCTATTCTCTTGCTTAAATTTCTATAGCTCCCTATAGATATCTGGATAAAGTTAGATCTCTTCAGTTAAGTTCCTAAGGCCCTTCATGATCTGACTCCTGCCTGTCTCTCCATTTTTATACCCTTCCATTTCTCATAGCCACTCTTTTCTCTATAAAGCCAAGAAACTACAAAGCCTCTGTACTCCCTATAGTTCCCTGGGAATCCCATGCCTTTTATTTTCTTCTTCTATGCTTTAGAACACGTTCTCACTTCTCCTGAAAAGTCTTTCTCACACCCTTCCCCTAAGTCCACATCATTTTATATACATTATCTCACTTGGTCTTTGCAACTATTCTTAGAAGTAGGCACTATTATAATTTTCATTTACAGATAGGAAAACTAAGGAGGTTAAATAATTTGCCTAAGATCACATAGCAAGTAGGTAGACAAACGAAGTCTAGTTCCAAAGCCTGTGTTCTTAATTTTCATGCCTTTCAAGTCCTTCCTTCTGTTTCCTTTATGATTAGATCATATGAGATAATCATATATACTTTTAAGTATTGCAGAGGTTTGAGATAGACAGTAACAAGAAAAGTAAAATAATTTTCTTCAAATATCTAAAGGGCTATTATTAGGAAAATCTAGATTATTCTGTGATGTATACAAGGTAAAAATTAGACTGATGAGTTGAAGTTATAGAAAGTCAAATTTCAATTCAGTATAATGAATGCTGTAACAATTAGTGCTGTCCAGCGATTGGACAGCATGTTTTTTAAAGGACAGAACCCCTCATAACTATTCAAACAGAAGTAGGATTATAGCACATATGAATCTGTATTCTTATAAGGGGAGGGAAGTTGGCTAAGTTCTTTTAATTCCAATAAAACTATAAAACTATAAACTCAATAAAATATTTATCATTCATTCATCTCTGATTTTCTTTCTCAATAGTAAGGGTAAATTTGCAGTTATCACCGATATTGTTATTGCTGTAGTCCCCTAATAATTACATTAGAACAGGGTTTCTCAACCACAGCACTTACATCTTGGGCTGCATAAATCTTTATAGTGTTGGTGTGGGGGTAGAAGGGGAGAAGATATGTCTTGTGCATTGTAGGATGTTTAGAGCATCCCTGGACTCTACATTCCCTTCAGTGTGACAGCCAAAAATGTCTCCAGATATTGCCAAATTCCAGGGGTGGGGGGAACCAAAATCATCCCTGGTTGAGAAACAGTGCATTAAAAACAATCATCTGATCTCTGATTCATATAGTCCTCAAGGAAACTCAGTTTTCAGGGACAAGAGATAAGCTGTACCTCTATATCAAGATATACATGACAGTGTTGGACCAGTGACAGCCATTTATATGCATATGTGTGTAATGTATCAATTGCCATATAAAAGTTATTGGTACCTCTTAAATTAAGTAGAGGAAATGTTTATCCACCCAATGTTATAATTTTAGAAAAGCCATATATGGGTTATTAAAGGCAGCAGCTTATCCTACTTATTTCACATTTTCTCAGAACAAAGTTTGTTTTTGATAATTATGATTCAGTTTAGTAATAATTGATACATTAGTAGTTATAGTAAGGAAGTCTCTAATTCTGTTATATTCCATAAAATATTTAGTATAATGAAATCCAAAATTAGACAGAGCTTAATAAATATCAAATCATAAAAATTATGGTCTACATACTAGGCATTACTATACTTCTAGGTAAGAAAATCTACTCCAAACTATTCTTGGGTTAATTAAACACCTGGATCTAAAATATCAGGCATAAAACATTTTAAATGTGGAGCTGAATTGGTAACCATAAAGTAAGCCATAACTTACCAATCTGGGCCATAATCTGACAAAGTGCAATCTGTTTTAAATATGTGGATTTCCCACTCATATTTGGTCCCGTTATGATCAAAAAATTACTCCCTTCTGTAATATAGGTATTGTTGGCAACAGGTTTTTCCACAGATATTTTTTCAAGAATGGGATGCCATCCCTGTTTGATTGCCAAAGTATCAGTAAACTCTGGCCGGACTAAAAAAAAAATAATGATTTTGAAAGATTAATATATTTATATTTAAATATTTTGTAGTGTATACCTACTATGTATACCTTAGTGATTTTTACTAAGATCAATTTACTAGGAACAATAACATTTAGGTATTATTTTATTCCAAATCTCTAAGTCCTTTTAAATTACAATTGACACACTCTAAACACCATCACTTTTATTCACTTCCAGTGAACTCTAGGATTTAGTTCCCTGTTACCCTAGGCTCTAAAACAGTTCACAACATTTTTAGATTTCTATAGAGATTAAGAAGAATAAAATAACCACTGATAATAGTTTTAAAATAACAATTACTACAAAATTGCACATTACTTAATCCCTACCTTAAGTATTATTTCAAATGTGGCATATTTAGCTTTTCAAATGAGGTATGAATACAGAATAAAACAAAATATAAAAATAATTTATGTTCGAACCCTTATAGAAATTTGTCTAAAATGAAATCTCAGGGAAAAAATAGACAAACAAAGATAGCGTCAATTTATAGAAACAAATAATGATCAGACTCCTCAGATATTTTTTGAAGTGAAGGGAGGAGGAAGGTGGGAGGACAGGTAAAAACTAAAATGTTACATTCCTCTAGATGAAACAAATTGATAAATTTGAAAGCACTACTATAAAAGTGAGGTTGGTTAAAAATTTTTAATTATTTTAAAATCTTTTTTAAAAAGTCATTATTTATAAGTTTGGAGTTTCAGGATGGTCCTTCTCAAATTAAAATGGAACCAACATCAAATATCTTCATAGTTAAGAAAACTACTATTAAAATTAGCTGATCCCTAATGTAAATATGTGACCTCAGAGGAGATATAAAAGATTGAAAAGTGTGAGTCTATAAAATGCCAATTGAAAAAGTTAACATTTCCATAAGAAATTAGGAAATATGGAATATGAAAAATTATTTATATTTCCCATTATAAAACATTAACACAATATTTTTGAACTATTACTGCTAATTTTAACTAGAAATTTTTAATGTTATTAATTTTATTAAGTCCACAATTATTCAACCTTAATTATCACATATTAGTTCAGTAAATTTGCATACTGGAGTAAGGTTATGACTGATAAGATAAATAAGAAATTTCAAAGGGCAAACAAAGTATTCATTTAACATTAGAAAATTATTAACATTTATATTCAAGGCCTGTCTGTATACTTGGGATACAAAAATAAATAAGGCAATTCCTGATTTGGTGATGCTCACATCTCAAGAGCTACTTTAGAAAGTGTTTACTTTGGAGATTGATTTCTCTTATGCTTATTAGTATTAGTCACACTGCTCCTAGTGTGTCTTCAGATTGGAACTTCATAAATTTGGATCATGGTCATTTTCACCGAAGAGACAGCTCAGCCTTGTTTTAGAAACCTTTAACGTTTCTTAGTTTTTTTTCTTTCTGATTTGTCAATTTCTCAGTAAATAATTTTCTAACTCTTAAAAGAAATTGTAAGGGCAATTGCACTGTCTCTATTTTGAGTCTCGGTCTAGGACCATACATAAGGGACTATATTTCATGTAAAAAATATAAAACATTCATAATTGTTATATAAAATTGCTTGACTGGAATAAAAATTTTAGTATGCAATATCTTTATTCCAAAGAAAGTAACTTACCATAGTCTGAAAGAGTGCAGGCGTGAGCAAATGACAGTAGCATATCCAGCATTGACACAGTGTCAGACAGTTTATATAAACAATGAATATGTTCATAAATCTCACTAAGCAGTTTGCATACTATCCTGAAAGTACATGTTTGGTAAAACAATACTTTTTAAAGAGGGACATACAACATAATTGTAAAACAATATTAAATTCATTGCCCGAGGCAAAGTAACATTCCTATTTGAGTTGTACATTAAAGATAAAATTTATTGGTCTATTGTCTCATTGTAGAGATGAGGAAATCGAAGCTCATACTCAAGATCAGAACTACTTAATAAAGAATCCATCTTCTGGTGTATTTCTAAAATAACTGCTTTTATTAAATATTAACGAAATAAATTTTTATTAAAGAAAATATTTTATATAGGTTAAATAAAGCCCTCACTGTACTTCTACAGACCCTCATCTGCTAATAATTTTGTGTTTTTGCATGTTAGATTCAACATAAAAGCTATCATGTGTTTTCTCTCACCCATATTCTGTCTCCTCCTTCTCCTTCTCTCTCTCCTTCTCCCTCTCTCTGACACACACATATTCTAACAATTACTTAAGCTTTTATGTGGCAGAGTTATCATAATTGTAACATAAATATAAAAATTTTTCCCTTACAAGGAAAAATGTTCCCAAAATGTACTTTATCATAATCTCTGTGGTCTAGTCCTTGAAATTATTTTGAAAGTCCAAAATTTCTCTTTATCATCTCAGCTTGCCAATTCTGAATGTTCTATTTCTTATTTCTAGCTGTATTGCTACTGTTTCATGTACAGCAACAGACTGGCACCATTGTGATGCTGCTGTATAAATATTAAGGCATGAGAAGTTCAGGGCTTACATACCACAGGAAAAGAGTAAACTGAATGAAGTCTAAAATAAGCCCATGATGTGCCAAGCTCTATATTACGTGGCATGCATACCACAGCAGTACCAGTAGTAATGGGGTTATTTTGCAACTAGATTTGCCATAAATCTTCTGTGCAGGTTACTAATCCTAACCATAATGACAGACTTTAAAAGTTTTAACTGTTTATCCAGGAAATGTTCTTTCTTTGCTAACGCTCACAATATTACAATTTTTTGCAATCAGACAAAAAGTCTGATCAATGTAATTAATGTAATTTATTGTAGTGCCTCAAATTAAACCAATTTAACTCAATATTAAAAAATATCAAATGCTCTTACATATAAGTCATTTGATAGATTTCTCTCAAAGACTCTTGGCATCTTTCATTCATTTTAATTAAATCTGCTGATGTAAAGCTGTAAGAATTTTTCACTTTAGAAATCTGCTAGGAAATTAAAGAACAAATGTCAAGATAAATGTATACTCATATTAAATAAAACATACAGATTTTAAACAATAAAAATATAGGCATTTAGGTTAATCACTTTAATTTTTCAACTATAGTTCACAGAGAAATTCCAAATAATGTTTGTGAATGAGAAAAGGAAGATTGATCTTTTTCTAAAGTTAAAGCAGGATTTTTTAACTTAGTCCATTTGGTTTGAGTATTTTTACAGGTCTTAAAAGAGCCATGCAGAAATCTTATGACTAAATAATATGTGGGATACATATTAGTAATCCTCACTCCATCTCTGACCCGTTTTAGCCCTTGTCCCGTATCTAAACCTCACTCAATCTTTAATCCCATTACTAAGTCTCAATCCATTCTTTACCTCATCCATTCCACATTACTTGGTAATAAAGTATATATTTAAAAACCCTGAAATTTAAATGATTTGTTTTTGTTATAAGGGACCCACTGGGAGTAGAGAAACCAAGATTAGAGAGGGTAAGACTTTACTAAACTGGTATATTGTGGAGGAGGTAATATGTATATAGGAAAAATATTTCCCTGGTCCAAAAGTTTGGCAATATTAGATTTAAAAAAATGAAGTAGACTTATCTACTTCAGGACTTTTAAACCTTTAACAGGCAAATGTGCATTGGAGAACCACATAAAATGAGATGGTACAGTACTTTCCGAATTTTTGTGATCAAAAGTACCTTTTGGACTTTCTTCATTTTTCTTTTTTTTAAATTAAATTTATTGGGGTGACATTGGTTAATAAAATTATATAGGTTTCAAGTGTACAATTCGACAATACATCATCTATATGTTGCATTGTGTTCATTACTCAAAGATAAATATTCCATCACTATATATTTGACTCCTTTTAACCTTATCTATTCCCCCACTCTTCCCTCTGGTAACTACTAAACTGATGTCTGTGTCTATGAGTTTTTGTTTGTTGCTTTATTTTTATATCCCACCTATGAGTAAAATTATATGGTTAATTTTCGTTTTTCACCCATACCAAGTTCTCAGAACTGTAGGAAGCACTATGTTTAGCATGCCTTTAAAAAAAGTTTCTGAATCACTCAAAGATTAATATAGCTATTAGGTGGGTAGATAATTAGAAGAAGCAATACACAGAACATTCAGAAATTTGTTATGTAAAACTCAAGAAGTACCTGAAAATATGTAAATATAATCCTGTAAAATCAGAAACAATAATTTCCTAATGTAACTCTAGAGTGTACCTTGACAAACTCTGAAGGCAGTTGATCATTGGGTAGGGCTGTACAATCTATAGTCATCTGGATGAAAAATCCTCGAGCAGAGCTAAAACTTGTCCTTAAAGGAAGACTATATTTTTCTGCAAGCTGTGCTATCATTCCTAGTGATCAGAAACAAGAAAAATAAAAACAAAACAAAGAAATTTTAATGAAAAAATTAAATTTTCTATTTTAAAATATCATATGATTTTCTTTATATGCAAATAGGAAGGTTTATACTTTTTAAACTCTAAAGATTTTTTAATGTCGAAAATAATGTCGTTAAGTATTCTTTTAAGAAAAAAATTATAGTGCAAAGATAGCCATTTTTATAGATATTTTGGAAGTAAAAGAAACTGTAAAAATGTAAATAAAAAATAAAACTAAGACTATTTTATACTCTCATTTTGATTTTTTTTCATTCTACTTTTTTGAAAAGGAAGAGAGCAAACACAAATTATTGCAATCATTAATTCATGACAAGAAATTCCCTCTACAAAACATACTTTACAAAGTATTCCAAAAGGGGAATTGGTAAGTCAACAAATAAAATTCCTAAAAAACCCAAATCTCCCTATGAACTTCAAACTCACTATAGAGTTATAAATATATATTTTAACATGATGACAGTTAATGTTTTGAACATTACTTGAGAAAACTAACATCTTTATTCTTAAAACAGGTCCCTTCTACAATTTTTCTGCTTTTCTTACTGGTACCATCATTCTCAGGTGAGAAATCTCAATTAGGACCAATGACTACATTTCCTTTTGCCATGGCCATATCTACTCGATTATTAACTCTTACCAATTTTTCCTTTGCATTGCTTTCCTCTCATACACATAGCTCTCACTGTAAATAATGTTAACTTGTAATAGTTTAAAATTGTCTCCCTGTCTCCACTGCTCCACTCAAATTCATTTAACATATCTTCTTGATGTATTTGACTCCACTAAGCAAAAATATCTCAGTGTCTCTTCATTTTCCTTGGGGGAAAAATCCAAACTCCTGGCCTTCAAAGACTAAATTCTGGTCCCTAGGCTACAATTCTAATCTTATCTCTTAATATTGCTGTAAGAGAATACCCTTTTCAATCCTAACAAATTTTTTCACTATCTCTTGAGGTTTCCTGATGCCTTTGTGCTTCAGCCTGTACCACTGCCAGTGGGTGGAATTCCTTTTTAGGCTATTCTATCTAATAAAAACACTACCATCCTCTATGCCTCAACACCCAGTCACTATCTTACCCCTCTAATCTACTATATTTTTTTTCAAGTCTTATATCCATGTAAAATTATATATGTAATTGATGTATATCAATATTAATAAATATATACACACATATCTGTGTATATGTGTGTGTGTGTATCTTTTTCTTTATTGTCTGTTTCCTCTGTTATACCATAAGCTCCATGAGGACGAGGACTTTGTCTTATTGGTATGTATTCTCTATACTCAGTATAGTATCTATGTTTACTAGGAGCTCAATAAATATTTATTAAATGAATTACTGTCCTCACTCAAATGCTACCTCTTCTATACAAACATGACATCTCTCCCTCCACTGAAATCATTTAGTACTGATAACCAACATTTTTATGTAGTTTATACACAATGCTGTATAAAGGTAACTCTATATGTAACTGAAGAAAAAATAGGGATACTATAACACTTTGAGATCTTTAAAAAAAGATTCCTTAAATGATAGTATGTGTTAAACTTATATGTTTGATAATGAGAAATAAATTAAAATTATGTATGGTGATTTATCACTAGCAAAAGAGTACAGTATATCCTTAAAAAGTTCATTTTATTTCTAAAAAAACAGAAAAATATGCTCAATTAAATTAAGTCACCTGCTATGTCATCTACAATCTCTGTATATGTTCTTCTAGCTATGTCAAGAAATTCATTTATGTTAGACCTCACTGCATAGCACTTCTGAGTCCTCATGTTCAGGCATCCTTTCATGTATCTTACATCATCATTAATTACTGTTTTAATCTTTTCAAGTATGATTCCAAACCTAAAAAATAAAAAACATTATAGGCAATTAAGTCAAATAGTTATTTTAATTAATAATTTGAGTCCCAGTTAATGATAGCAAATAATATTTTTAAAATTATTATTAAAACTTATTTTGAAAATTAACAAGCAATATATATGTTTAAATTTATATAAGTTAGAACTGTGACTATGTCAATTTTAAACTATTTTGTTGGTCAGGACTAGACTCCTAAAATAATTCTACAACTGCTAATAAAAAGATCTCCCAAGTTATACATGCTGACTGTGCCCATGACTATAAAACACACCCCTAAACAACCGTTATAAAATTTCTGGCTTCATGCTCATTGACTCAATAAACATTTATTTATATGATTTATCAATCACTGTATTAGATGCAGGGATTCAAAAAAGGATTAATATATGGTCCTTGCATTCAACTGAGCAAGAGAGACTAAAGAGATATTGTGAGGCAGTGTAACAGTAATTAAGTGCAGTGATCATGCAAGCCATAAGTCTGGTAATACTTGTTTTCCTAATCTTTTGTTTTATTCTGTTCTGTATTTTATGTGTGATTAATTTGGCTTTATTATTAACCTCAATTTGTGGCCTCACACAAGATGTGAATCTTGAATCAATGAAATAACAGTTGTTAAGTACCGCAAGTCTTTTTGGTCAAGAACCAAGGTGCTACTTCTAAAAAAAACATTAAACTTAAACTGTATGTAGATCTTATTGAGTATTCATGTCTGCTATCTTTTTTGTATTATATTAGCCCCTTCATGATTAAAAAAAGAAAAAAATAGTTTTTATATTTGCAAGTCTTTCCATGGAGAATAGCTAAAGAGAAAATTTTTAATTGTGTATGATTTCAATTTTTAATGCTATTCTAACTGTCCATTAACACAAACACTCAATGTGCTATTATATTATTTATTATTATTTAGAAGATTAAATGTATAGTTAGAATTTTATGAATATTTTAAAGGTTCTATTAACCAAAGCTCAAGCAATTGCTTTACAGTATATAATTAGTATCCTTAAAATCAGTTACAATCAAGAAGAAAGGAATAATCGGATATTTTATTAACAGGTGAGTGACAAAGACCTATTATCTTCCAAGGATCCATAGTAAGCTCTTAATAAAGGTGTGTTACAGTTCTTCAAAGCAATCTATTAAAGAATAAAATAAAGATAGTTAAGGATAATAAATCATGACATTATTCAAACATAGCATTTTACAATTGTTTAATACTTTACAGCTTACCAAGTGCTTTTTTTTTTTGCTTCATCTTCTCCATTTACATACAAATAACATATTTTATATAGGTGAGGACAGATGATCTCTTTCCCATTTACCAGATAAAAAGCACAAGGCTAGTAGTGGCCTCCAATGCTTCACTATTATGACTCTTATTTTTCTTGTCTCCCAACTAATTGTTAACATAACTACTTATTAGAAGTAGGTACTTAAACAACTTTTATTGTACATTAGCAGTACTCTACATATAATTCCAAAATTTGAGTTATATTTACATTAAGCTAAAAAGTGCTTTGTATATTAAAAAATAGAGCAATTTCTTTATTCTTACATGGTAAAAGTAGGGGTTTTATTTTGCTTAATGGAAACTTCAAGTGGTCACTATTTGAAGAAACAGAAAAGAGAAGAAACAGTTAAACTGAATTTTTAGTTTGCTATGAGGCAATGGCAATAATATTCTTTGCTTCTGAATAAAAAAAATTTACACATTGATAAAAACTAGAAAATTCATGAAAGCATAAACAATATTTAAATCACTCATAATTCTATCACCTTTCCAAAGATAAACACTCTAAATATTATGGGATATTTCTTGTCGCTTATTTAAATAAACATTTTATATCATCACATGCTCCTTTTCTCCCTCACCTCACTTGATAACTTACTATATCATGAGCATTAGAAACTTTTTATAGCAAATATTTTAAATAATTCCTCTCATATTCCACTA